GCCTAGCCACGGCCGATCAGGTTTTATTTATTAACCAATCAGAGCAACTTGACATACAGACCATCCCCCAGCACAGCCAAGTGCAGACCATCTCAAACACCTGCACTCAGGCCCATGGTCCTAATCATCCTCTATACGGACCTGCTGGGTAACGCCACAAAGAACCTGAGAATGGGCTCCCACATACAGAACATCCCACAGCAGCTGTTACTGAAACAACAACAACAAAAAAAATCACTTATATCCCAGCAGCCAGAGCAGGGGATGTCTCTGACCCTGCTGCCTGAGTTTGGGACCCATTCCTTCTGCTGAATTGTGTCATCCGACCTTGGAGGAAGAGTGGGCGCCTGGTCTCAGTGCAGCTTGATACACCGTGGCTGGCTGACATCCATGGGATGGATGTCTGCCTACACCTGAGAAGAAACAGTGGAGGAGGAGTGAGTGGGGCAGGAAGTGGGGGAAGACGGGAGCTGGGAGGAGGGGAGATGAAGGGGCTGGGAAGACAGGAAGGGGAAGCTTTTGTTAGAATGCAAAAACAAGGAAAAAATCCATATATACAAGAATTGGAATGTGAAAGCAGGACACAGCTCTTCTTCTTCTTCTCCTTCTTCTTTGTTTGCTTGGTTTTATTTATTTATTTATTTATTTATTTATTTATTTATTTATTTATTTATTTATTTATTTATTTATTCAAGGCAGGGTTCCTCTGTGTAGTCCTGGCTGCCCTGGAACTCACTCTGTAGACCAGGCTGGCCTCAAACTCCCAGAGATCCACCTGCCTCTGCCTCCTGAGTGCTGGGATGAAAGGCGTGAGCCACCACCACCCGGTACCTTCAGATTCTTATGAAATGGAAATCACCTGTGGCCCAGCAGGGACAGGAGTCTGCTTCTTGTTCTTGCTCCTATGGCAGTGGGGAGGCAGAGGCCAGCTATAAGGGTAAAGAGCAGAAAAGAACACAAGTGGACAGTGGCAGTCCTGCTGATGTCCCCTGGTGTAGCGAATGCTCCTCACACAGGAGAGAGCATGGGGAAGTTCCCACTCACAGCGTCTCCTTTGGGTCTCAGGGCTAGAGACAGCTCGGACCTAGGGGCCTTTTATACTTTCATTATAAGTCAGTGTGTGTGTGTGTGTGTGTGTGTGTGTGTGTGTGTGTGTGTGTGCACGTGCACCAATGTGGAGGCTAACGGGCAACTTGGGCCATGTTCCTCAGATATTCTCCATCTTGTTTCTTGAGGCAAGGTCCCTCCCTGTAACTGGACTTACAACCTGGGCCATCTGCCTGTCTCCATCTCACCGGCACTGAAATCACTCGCACATATCAGCCCGCCTAGCTTTTGAGACCTGGGCTCTGGAGGACTGAGCTCAGGGCCCTGTGGCTTGCACAGTAAGCACCTCACTGACTTCATCTCCCTGGCCTGTCAGTCATCTAGTGACTGAGCTCATCAGTCAGGAATACTCCAGCTCAAGGGGGCCCGGCCTGCCTGCTGTCACTTTTTGAGTGACAGAAGTCAAGGGTGACAAAGACACTTTAAAAAAACTCTTTTAGACACCTCTGCCTCTGTCACTGTATGACGACAAAGCCCTTGCCCCCAGGGGCCTCCTTTTCTTGACCCCAGGGAGGTTTCCCCACAGACTCCCACAGTAGAGCAGGGCTTTAACGGGCTGGAGAGATGGCTCAGTGGTGAGAGCACAAGTTCTTTCAGAGGACCTGGGTTTAGTTCACAGCAACCATATTGTGGCTCACAAACCACAAATCACTCCAGCTCTGGGGGGTCCAACACCCTCTTCTGATCTCTGTGGGCACTAGGTACACACAATATATATCAATATATATCTATATATATATCTATATATATATCTATATATATATCTATATATATATATATATGCAAGCAAAACATTCATACACGTAAAATCAGAAAATCTTAAAAAAAAGTGTTTTATTATTATAAAAAAGAATGGGGCTGTGACATACCTGGACAGGTGGCCAGTGGTGCCCACTTTGGGGACTCAAGCCCTCCTTTGCTCCTCGAGTCAGGTGACCTAGTCAGCACAGTGCAGCTCTTAGCCCCAGGGCAGAGGTAAGCACTAGACCCTGCAGGGATTTCTGAGGTTGCAACTTGCATCACAGACACTGAGAAAGCCACTGAAGTGAGAGTGTGGGCGGCTAGAAACCTGTTCCGTGAAGGGGACAGGAAGGACAGAGACTCAACAAGCAGCTGGAGCCCGGAGGCTTTGCCTCGCCGTGCTCCATTGGGCCTGTGGGAAGGGGTAGCTGGGAGGACCATTGCTCTTCCTGCAGTGGAACTGGCGTGCCTAACAAGAGTTGTGGTTCAGAAACAAGGAGGAGGGGCGGAGGGCTTTTGCTCTTACTGAGGCCTCAAGGTCGGTTCCCAGCATCCGCATGGCCTGGCCTCCACATCTCACAACTGCCTATAGCTCTAGTTCCAGGGGCTCCAACTGACCTCTGAGGCTCATGCATGCATGTGGTTCACACACATACACTTCGGTACACATATTGAAAGAAGGGATGGGAGGTGGCGGGAGGGGGGGGGCAGACACAGACAAGGGAAGTCAAGAGACAGTGAGTGACATTGAACGCTGGGGCCAGTGGGAGACATCAGGAGAGCCCAGGGCGCATGAACTGTGCTGACAGTTGCGAAGTCCTCATCAAGTCCCTATGTCTTGTCCTGCTAAGCAGCCCATTCCCCTCTGCCTGGGCATATCAGTGGTCCAGCCATTGCCCTTGAACAAAGATGTTGCCCAGAAAGTGGTAACTGAGCATACAGAGGAGAGTGATTTTTTTTTTTTTTTTTTTTTTTTTTTTGTGAAACTTTCTTGAACTCAGAGAAATGCATGGACCGAAGATCAGTTAAAGGTGACATATTCTCTTGGGACCACATGCCTTGATCCTGGATAGATGACAAGATTGGAGAGGGTCAGAGAAGTTTCCTGTTAGGTGGAATTTTCTGGCTCTGAGCTGAGTGGGGTGAGAGGGAGCCAGTGAACCACCGAGCAGGAACAGCAGCTGTGAGGGGCAGTCTTAGGAAGGGTCTGCAGCTCTCCAAGCACTAGGGCTCACAGGGTCTGAAGGGGTTAGGTGCCATCATCTGAGCAAGAAGGGGGCTCCAGGAAGGGAGGCAGCAGGGTCACACCAGGAGGCTCTGACTGCAATTGGATGTCACTGATCCTGGGCAGACTTCCTACCCTCAAACCTGGCCCTCTGACAGAACCCTGCCCCCGCTCTCTGAAGGAGAGCTTGGAATTTGTGCAGCTGAATCCTGAAAATGAACCATTTCCAGGAACAGAAACTGAAAGCTTCTCTGGCTGTGGGCCCCTCCCTCGGGGGAGACAGGCAGGGCTCCTGCCTACAAGTGAGGAGTGGAGCCCGGTCCAGAGTGGAGCAGAGTCCAGCGTGGAGCAGAGTCCAGAGTGGAGCAGAGTCCAGAGTGGAGCAGAGTCCAGAGTGGAGCAGGGTCCACAGTGGAGCAGAGTACAGCGTGGAGCAGGGTCCACAGTGGAGCAGAGTACAGCGTGGAGCAGGGTCCACAGTGGAGCAGAGTCTGAGAGGAAGCCCAGGAGCTCAGGCTTCCCTTCCGCTGCTCCTCTCCTCTATCATTCTGCCCAGGAGGACCCCAGCCCTCCACATCTAAATTCTCTTCTTCCTGAACATCCTGGGCCTGGATTCCAGTTTTACAAGGCTTCTGAGCAGGTAGGTGAGAGGCTCCTAAGTGCAGCTTGGCCTATAAACTGCTCAGGGCAGGAGAGTCTGGAGTCTGCCGTTCCTCTCGGGGGTTGTATGCAGCAGGCACATGGCCTGATCTTTTTCAGGACCACACAGTCCCTTGTGTTTTGGCTGAAAAGAGTCTTTCCAACCCACCAGCAGAGAGGCAATGCACCCTTTCTTACCTCATGTCCCTGGATTGCGGGTCTTCTGATGAGGCCTCGTTTAGAGAAAGCAGATGGGGTTTCACTCATATTACCTTAACCACTCCATTGATGTTCCCTTTGGGACCAGAGTCCAAGATTAGAACTTCCCACTGGCAATATTGGGATGTCCGGGGATTATGTAAAGTGCATGTGTACTTCATGTGGAACACCAGGGACTAGGGATCCTGGTTTGGAGGCTAGCTTCTTAAGTGAACTTTTTGTCTAACTCAGTTGAGTGTTTTTATCTGCATTGGAGAAGCTGGCTCTTCACCAGGATGCTAGCGCTCATCTTTAATCTTTCAGAGAACACAATGAAGCACAGTTTGACAGAACACAGTGGTGTAGAGTAGACCAAAGTGCAGCCATGTAAACTGTGTATACGACCTTCTCCTGAGGTGTGAGAGTGTGAGGCTTGTGTGTGTGTGCACACATGTGAGTGTGCTTGCTAGTGTTTTTCTTTCTTTCTCTCTCTCTCTCTCTTTCTTCTCTCCCTTCTTCCCTCCCTCCCTTTCTTCCTTCTTTTTTTATTATTTATTTTATTTTATAATACTATTCAGTTCTACATAACAGCCACAGATTCCTTCCTTTCTTCCTTCTTTAGAACAGTTCACAGAGGCTTTTTATTTATGTATTTTACACTTCTAGAAAATGAATCCCAGTATTTTCCCTCCTGTGTGTTTTTGTCTTGCTTCTTTGTGGTCTGTGAAGGCTGTGGTTGTCAGCACAATGAAGCCAAGCTGATGGGATGGGAGCAGACAGTTCTGCCGTTTTTTCTAGGCCTTTGAGTTGTACATCAAATCTAGGGTTGATCACTCCACACTTGGTCAACCTGCCTGTGAGGTTTACGACAATTTTCCCAGCTCCGTGATCATCAGTGATTTAAAATTTACCAGTGTGACCACGCTCCATCCTCACAGTAGGAACTGAACAATGACTTGGAGCATGGCCTGATGAGGACCTGGCATTTGTCTCTTCTCTCAGCACGGTGTCGGCATGGAAATATGGCACAAAGACCTCCGTATTTATTTCTAACAATATATCTCTCCATCTGTACTCAGGTGTTGCAATATCATTTTTCTAATAGGTTCTGAAGAAGATTAATGATCATAAGGCTTGTGAGAGCCCCGCGAAGTTCAGGCCCACAGACATAGACCTTCATACTGCATAAAGTTGAAGGGAGAAGGAAGAACCAGAGGAACACCAGCCCAGAGATCTGAGTGGAGACTAAGGAGCCTTCACCCAGACAGCAGAGAGCTGTGTAGAGAGCATCCCATGCATTCCGTCACCATGTGTGTACACAAGGTCTGGAAGGTAGGTAGCATGGCTTGGCCAGTGCCGGGTCAGAAAACTGAGACTTTAGAAACCTGTCTGCGTTTCAAGGAGCAGAGTGAGTCTTCAAACACCGGTGTGGGCTCCTGGCTTATCCCTTCCATGTAGAGGTCATGCCCAGGCCCAAGGACTGTGTAAGGAGCAGCGGGAAGTGTTTGGGGAGCAGAAGTGGACCCACCCCAGGAGGGGAGCAAGGGGAGGAAGCATCCCAGGAAAGGACTGGGAGAGGACTGAGGGGAGAGGCCACCCCAGTGGAGAAAGGGGAAAAGCCAGCCCTGGGATTGGGAAAAGCCACCCCAGGAGAGATCTGGATGGGGCCACCACAGGAAACTACCAACTCTCAGAAGTTGAACCCTGGAAGTGGTCTCACAGATGGAATAGTAGGCTTTATGGGACAGACACTCGACACTTCAGTGTGAGAACAGGACAAGTGTACAGTTGCTTCATGGGATCCAGGGGTGGGGTCCAGGGGTGGGGTCCAGGGGTGGGGTCCAGGGGTGGGGTCCAGGGGTGGGTCTGCCTGGGAGCTCTTCATGGAAGTGATATACACTGTCTGGATTAAAGAGATGGTCTTGAGTTTTGAAGTTTTTGTTTGTTTGCTTGCTTGCTTGTTTAATTTTGAGACAGAGTTTCTCTGTGTAGCCCTGGCTGTCCAGGAACTCGCTCTGTACACCAGGCTGGCCTGGAACTCAAGATATCTGCCTGCCTCTGCTGGGATGAAGGGCATTTATCACTACATCTTACTGAGATTTGGAGTTGTTGTTTTTCTTTTTCTTTTCTTTTCTTTTTTTTTTTGAAACAGGGTTTCTCTTGGTAGCTTTGGCAACTTTTCCTAGAACTCACATTGTAGCCCAGGCTTGCATCAAACTCACTGAGATCTGCCTGCCTCTGCCTCCAGAGTGCTGGGATTAAAAGTGTGCGCCACCACTGCCCAGGGGGATTTGAAAATTTTTAAAGAGGTTGATGGTGATACACACAGAAAGTGTTAGATTTTTCTTTCTTTCCTTCCTTCCTTCCTTCCTTCCTTCCTTCCTTCCTTCC